TCACAATCACAGGCTGCACTGACCGTGGCAACTTATATGGAAACAACTCTCCAAAGAGTCCCTAGTCAAATTTTTCATGGCTGGTGACTTCCCACGTTTTAAAAGCATATGTATGGCCAAATTATCTCCTAACTGGACACTGCGGAGGAGTTTGTCAAGACGTTGCAGATGCAAGATGTCATGTGTTTAAAGACTACTGTTTTAGGCGTTTCAATGATAATAGCTTAGCTAGCTGGGAATCATGCACAAATGAACGTAACAAGACAGCGTACCAAACGGCGTAATGCCTAAACTCACGCTTTTGGCTTAACCAGCCGATTTAAACAGTGAAGTTCAGCGCCTAATGTCGAGTTACGAAGGCTGTGGGCTAATAGTTTTGGAGAACTACTTACCCCCACAGCTCAGCGACTGGCTGCTTCAACTCAAATCCACCTGCTCACACGCAGTTACCAGACTATTACCAATCCACTGACACTATTTAAAAAGATCCTTTGCAAATTCTTCCAGTAAGTATTTAACGATAATAAATTACATTTATCAGATTTCCCCCGCTTCTTATGAAATGCTCACTGTGTACTCTCTGTCACTTTATTTCTTGTTCATTTTTCAAAATAATGATTTCTTACCAACTCATTCAGGTTCACTTTTGACGTCTGTGGACAACTAATTAGGCAACCAGTAGTCCTAGACACATTATGTTTCGGAACATGTAGAAAACGGGCTAGACTTATCCGGAACGCTGGTCGAAATTTCTTCGGGAATAATTTTTAATAAAATTGTATTATGTGTTTTCTGGATTGACGGAAACTCTCATTTTCTGACATATCATGTTGGTGTCCACGTCATGTGGTATAACTGCGACACACCCTTAATATATTTTTTGAAATGGTTTGTGTTCAGGGCGAATTGTGTCGAAATATAGATTTTTTGGGCAGGATAGAATAGTTGGAGGGTAATGTCATCCGCAAAATAGTTTTCTATATGTAGAAGCTAAACATTTTGGCATAATATCATTCAACGAAGGCTTCATAAGTCTCAGGTTGTCAGTACAGCCTGTTTTCATGTGAAGCAGTACCGTTTGACAAGTGAATGCTATCAGTGCTTGGAAATCACCTACAAGTGCTAACAGAATCTACTATGAGAACACAAGTTATGATGTAGGTGCATGTTTCACCACGTGTATTTGAACAGGAATTATCGTAAGTTTAAAGGTTATCTCTAAGTGGATTTAATCTATAGTTGAACTAATTGATTCAGTGTAATGTGGGTTAAGTGGACTCAGTATATTAAAAATACCTCAACTTTATTAATGTTCTGCTATCGTCTGCTTAGTCGACTTTTTGGATAACAGACATAGGTGGTCCTCATGATTGTTACAAGTGCAGTGCAATGGGGAAGGTAATTACTCGTTTAATTTTCATCAGTGTACCACTTCATGCATTGATTCAGTGTATGGTATTATTATGTAGATGAATTGTGTTCATTATGAGGACGTAGTCTAGTAAGCTGTATCATCGTCAATCTGCTGTTTGTTTTGTCACTTACGCCGACACTGCACAGATATTGTCTATGCTTCAGTGTTCTTTATCACCTGTAATGGAGACGAATTCTTCTGAAAATTCCATTTACAGATATAGTATCATTATTGAATGTCTCAGCTGCAATGTTATCCATATTAACACAAAACCTTTGTGTGTCTTATGACATTTTATGTATTCCTGTATGCTGTTAACGCTGTGCGCAACTGTTCAGAGTTGAGACCTCACATTTGATGGCTATGGTTTCTTAAGTATGCAAATGCAATTTATGTGGGATTCCCAAAACCACGTTCAGCAGACAATGCTGAGATTGTAGATTAATTTCTATAAGTTACAATATTTCCAGTACTGCAATACTTACTTTAATGTAAATGCAATTATTGTGAAGTTGATTTGCAAGTATTACTGATGAGAGAATAACTCCTCAGCAGTATGGATGTAGCAGAGATTGCCTTGAAATTTGCGTTTCATCCTCTAATACTGGAAACAGATGAAATCTGTTTATGGATTCGGCATCAGTATAAAAATCAGCTGTGGACTACAAACACTTTTATTTGCATGGGAATTTCATAAAGTATTAACAGAATCAATGTATACACTTTGTATACTAATGTAAAGTTATGTTTCAAAACTTCATGTTTTGCTAGTCCTTACACGTGTATTATTTTTTTAGGCACACACAGGTTGTCGAATATGAAATCAGAGGAAATGTCAATCGGTCAAATGAACGCTATACCCTTCATCAGAATTTTCTTTTATAAATTATCGAAATGTTCAATAAACTCTTGATTTCTACTTCTTCTGGATTTTTTCAGTGCCTCGCTTTACTGTGAGCTATTGTAATATGTGGAGATGAATTAATGCATGTTAAGCATAACTGATGGGATAAAGACTTACTGTAGAATTATGAAACTGTTAACTTGGTCGTTCGCAGAATCCTCCGTCTATCTCGGTACAGTATCACATTGTGAAAACTAAGTAGGATTTATCAAGCTGGGGAATTATGATGTGGTGTTCGATACGCTTGAGCCAACGCATTCGGTCAGTCGCACGTCTGTATACTTCCAAAGGTCAAGTCTATCCCACAAATAAATGTAGTAATTTAGGGTTGATAGCTACTCCGCTCATCTGCTAGCATTAATTGGTACCATCAGATAGACTGTTTAATTGATAATGAGCTAAGAAACAAATTCTGTTTATTCCTAATATGCCCTTGAACCATGTGGTACTGGTTACTATCCATCATCTTCATGATCAGTAACCGCAGTATTTGCATATCTACTTTATGGGTATTAAATCACTTATGGTTTTATGGATCTAATAAGAAATAACAGACTTTAATGACGGCACTTTATCCTGCTCAAAATGTTCTTCTTGATTTATTTATGATAGAGACGTATTTCGCAGAACTCATCAAACAACGTATCATTTTTAAATGTACACCACGTATAGGCATCCAAATCAAGGTAAACGCGTGTACTGTTCGCTCAGTTCTTATAAGACCACTTGATAAGGTACGTAATAACTGCGATATGATTGGTTACACAGCGTTTAATGCATTTAGACATAACCGACGTGCACTGCTTAGTTTTGTGACGCATTATCTACAGCCACGCAGCTACCTTAAAATAGTTTCCGCTGAAGGTAATTTCCTGTAGCTGCTACCTTAGTGAGCAGCTTAACGTTATCCCTGAATTACAGAGTAAGAACCTTCTTGGTAAAAAGACTGTCTTCTACTTAGAGAAAGTAGATATATGCCTATCTCCACGAAAGCTTTTCAAAGTATATATCCTATCACCACAACACCTCAACCGATTCACTGTTCGCAGTCACTGACAAAGTAAAAGTACATCTACCGAAGGCATAATGCTTCTGATTTGTAGATTCCACAGTGCGCCATGAGGAAAAAGCTATATCCATAAGATGACAACAGTTTAATGCATCATATCTATCCGAAGAACAAAGACTACGGTACTCAGGCGCAGAACATACTACTTAGCTATCCATTCGTCTAATCTTGTTAACAAATGTTTTGCCAATTTAGATTAGAAAAAGACCACTAGTTTAAAGAAAACACATTGAAAGTTTTTCTAAAAATCGTATACGTCCGGTGGTTATAGCCACCAAGGAATTACAAACATCCGAAAAATAAGAATTTGGTTACATAAACTGAAACAAGCAATTTGCTTTCAGCAAGTGTTTACATCCATAATGATCATCAGCCTCTCAAATTGTTGTAACTTCGAAAGCCACCGACTGTAGACTACAGTCCAACAGGTTATTCTTGCTAAAGTCTTATCTTCAACCAGAGTAGTTCATATTCCCCGCAGATCATCATCTGGAATCCACTTTCTAGATCGTTTTGCAACATATTGAATGGCTGTTAACATTGGCTTCACTACAGATGATTCTAACTCATGTATTTTGATCTAGTACATTAGGCATTGACATTCATAGATAGCAATAATCCTGTATAGGTTTCTGATTACTTTCCAGTTTCTTTCGTTCAAAAAATACAAACAAGCACAACATACTCATGCTTCAAATGTGGTTCATCCTTGTTTTATTTAGGTTCTATTACAACACATTAGGAGTTTGTTATGCGATGATGGGCACCGTTATGTTATACTCACCTTCTAGAAAAACGTTTAGTCCTTTACAAATTCAACTCAAGTTCTACTTTGTTCTCGACGTCTCATATGTTCTCCGGAAACCTTAATTATATCAACTCTGGTCATGCTTTCTCCGCCAGACTGACTCATAGAATGTTGCATACAATAAACATGAACGTGCAAGTTATTGTTTTCTCCAGATTCCTACATATTAAGTAACCAACTGAGTCAGCATCAGTAGTAGCAACCAACAAATGAACTGGAATCAATACCTTCTGCCACCAAAACACGCTCATGTATAAATAATTTCCAAAACTTGTACATGATGTTACACCATTAACGGCTGGAAAGTGACTAAAACACTGCAACAATGCATGGAAGTAACGTATGAAATAATTACAGTGAGATGAATGAACTGACCTGTTGGTAAAAACTTCTGGAACGATGGGAATAAATAATTCTAATGGTAACGGAAACTAAAAGGATGTAAAACGCAGCATTTGTGAATAATTCGCATCAAGATAAGTTGTGAATATCTGCAAAATAAACTCAAAAGCCAGTGTGTGTATGAACGGTTAGCAAAGAGAAATCCAACATGGCCAGCTGACATGGATGAAATCGACCTTCAAGTGCCTTGTCTATCCAGTTACTGTGAGCGTGTGGGATAAGTTTAGCCTAGAAAACGCTGTATGAGATAAACCGACATTCGACTGTCCAAAATGTTTTTCGGAGCTGCTGAACGCTAGTGGTTTCACCGCCTGCACATGATACCACTGACAGCCAAGAACAGTTGCTCAAGGCGGCAGCTTTTTTAGACCCGTGGCAAATGAAGGAAATTACTTGTGTAAAACAATCTTGGAATGTAATTATGGGTGTATGAAGTAATGTGGATTAAAGACGGAAATAACTTTCACTGATAGGAATCAAGGTCCAATCAAATCTGTGATTGCATGAATGTGCCTTTTATCCCTATTCATCTAATTTGAGACCATCGATAACGGACAAACGTGTTTCCTTTGGCAAGCTGAAAAGTTCCCCGCTAGATTAGAACTAAAGCGTTTTGGCGCTGGATTTATGTGTGTGGTTCATGTCATCAAAATATCCCACTGGAAGAAAAGATGGGCGAATCGGATTGTGGTTTAGGCGCATAATAAATGGTATAAAGCTCACTTTTAAATTTTTGGATTTTTACTTCCACTAGTAATAAGGTTCTATTCTTTGTTAAATACGAAATTGAGAAATTAACCTAATTATTGTTGAAAGCCATCATAATAGAACCGTTTCAATAATTTCCAAGCTGTAACCGTAGTTAAACAAGTTGTTTGCGAAAAATTCTACAAAACTTGTAGATTAAAAACTTAAGTGAGGCTGGTTTCGCTGTGGGCTTTGAGTCGAACATGATTCCATCAATATACATGCGCATGATTGTTACTTTACTTCCCAGTCATATGCAAAGAGTAAATATAAGCTGCAGTTACTCTCGTGAGACCATGTTCAAAGGAAGTCACCAGAATAAGGACCACATATATAAATGATGACTGAAGTAGATTTGAAATTAGATGGACAATATGGTTTTTTAAGCTGTGAAAAAATGGCGGCCCCAATTCATTATGCGCGTGGCTCACGTGCTTTTTTCTAACTTGCGGATAAGAATTGAAGGATTTTAATGTTTGCGATGTTACATTGTTGATGTAGCACCAACTGTAATTAAGTGGTTAGTGAAGCAACCACCGAACAGGTTTAGAAGGCATGCTTGCTAACTTATCTGTGTAACTGGTGTCATATCCACTTAACCAGAAGACGTGTGCGCTGTTCAAAAGTTAGCTTCACCCTACTTCACAAATGTGAAATGGTTGGTGAAATTAGAGAACATGAATATATTTCAGGTTTTTAGCAATAGTTGCCTCCATTCAGTTAGAAGATGCAACATAAGTATTATTGAGACCGGACGTAATTTAAGGGGAAGGCGATTCAACAGTTGGCGTTGTAAATCTACAATGGTTGACGTGTTCAAGTTGTGTTGCACTCACCAAAACTATCAAGCGATGTTACCTGAAGTAGGATTAGTGTAGAGATGGTTATATAGCGAAAACGCGCCAATCTGCGAAGCCATAGACTTCGATGCTTTTTAAATCACTAAGTGTAGATTGTGTGGCTGGAATCTTCGGAGTGCTAAGAATTAATGGTGTGGCTCGAATTCATCCTCATTGGCTCAGATGTTTTTATTCTTTGCAATTTTTGACGTTACTACCTTTCATTGAGTTATTCTTCTCTTTACTTCTAAGTTTATTTTCGTACCACTATATTTTGTTCTTTTTCTGAAGTGTGTGAACTTACACTAACGCGTTTGTTCGTATCTTAACTTCTGTGACTGAGCCATTTCACATAGAGACTGAAATTCAATTCTCCTTGTTTTTCACCCATCAATTTTTTGGCGTGCACCATTCTATATGCCTTATACTTAATGTTTAAGTATGCAAATTAGCATTGTATTGTAACTTATCCACTTATGGGTTTCTTATATTTTGCCTATACTTTGTTATTGTGGGTTAATGTAACATTCTCGACGGAACCGTTTAAGGTTATACTGATGTCTGAACATCTAGTTTTATAGTCCTAAAAAGACATGAAAAGTCCTAAAAGACATGAAAACTGCAGTAGTTTTTAAATGTTGGGATCCTGATGTGTAGAACAGTTTGAAATTCAGAACAAAAAGGTTGGTAAATGAGAGAATGTCAGAGCAGTTTGCTCTCTCTGCGACCCTTTTACAAGCACTGCTACGGTACTTTCCAAATTATATAACAAGAAGGATAACTTATTTAGATAGACATAACTCAATCTTGTGTCGTTCTAATGCACAACACCTCACACTAGGTTATCAAAAACAGACTAACAATGTGAAAGAGAGAAATAAAGATATAACGCCAAATACTTTAAAATAAAAATAAGTCGACATGAAAATTATAACCAGTGTGCTTCCCATTTCCAAACGAAGGAATTATGTGGATAAATATGTGTCATTGTGTTCATTTGTTTTCTCTCATGAATGCTGGGTGTTACTACTCTATGTTGCATCCGCTATTCATATACTGATTTGCTTTTTTATTTTTCCGTGTTAAAATTTTCCATATGTTCCCCGATATCGCGAACCATTTCATACCTACTACCCGTCTTTCCACCTTGGTTTTGTCTATAGCTTTTACACTTGATACATGCAAAGTAAGGATCTGTAATTTCCTGCTGTCAACTAGTTTGATGTTTATCCTTCATTTCGCTTTTCGAAATTGATTTTTCAACATGTTCTATAACTTTCTGCATTTAATTTCCGTAATCCTCACTATGTGGGGGTCCTTTTACCATGGTGAATCAATTTAAAACCTACTTTAGGTTTAATACTTTATGAGAAAGCATACTCTGGACAAAATGTGGATAACGAACTATAAAGACAATATAAACAGAATTTTGTAGGAAGATCAGTATTATTGGGAACTTAATTCTTGAAAGACTTTCAATTGAAAGTCCATAAGAAGAACTGTTGACGATTTTCTAATTGGGAATTTTAGTATAAAATCCTCTTATCCGGTTGCTTTATGTTTGGATGTGGATAATTACATGTGTGAACACTAGTCTTGTAATTTAGCTCTCCTGGATAGTTTACTTTCATGCGTTTTTCCACAGCTAATTAATATTTTAGTAGAATTTTCTTTATTTTTCATTATTAAACTCAGGTTCCCATACACAGACTGAAAAATGTGAACTTATCCCGTTTTCTGAAAAAGAAATTGAATGTCCAGTTTGTTTAGCGCCTGCTGAGGACCCATTACAGCTAAGTTCATGTGGTCACTGTGCTTGTGCAGCATGTTGGAGGAATTTCATCTCTAGCCAGATCGAAAGTTTTGCACTTGCACATCTCACATGCGTAGCATGTTCCGAACTGTTACAGCCATCAACAATTATCCATCTTCTATCCGCTGTTTCTAATCGCCATGAGTCTTCAGAGGGTAGCTTAAAAGAAAATCAATATGCTCGCAGTTTATCTCGGTATGAAGAGTTTTTACTCCGAAGGGCACTGTCACGTGAACCGGATGCAAGATGGTGCCCTAGAGGTTGTGGGTAAGTCTCGGTGCGGTGTGAATGAGTGCTTTGGTGGTAGTAAACCGTCTTCCACAGCTGTTGCTGTTTGTTAGATTAAAACTAATAAAAATATTCTTTCTACCAAAAGGTCAGTGGTTAATGGGGTATATGGAGATGGTCGACTAAAGGCTTGTCAACGCCTCAAATTTCATGTTGTCACACATTGTATAACTACCAGAGAGCTCTAGGAGCTCATTAATTATTTTGAAAAAGCAAAACAGACCAAAGGTAGCTTACCGTGTGTTCCATGTAAACAACATGATCCAGTGGTGGATTTCCGAACAAAGAAGAGGCCGTCTTTTAGTGTATACTGTCATCTTAAGATATTTGGTTTGGTGACTTAGCCATATGTTATAGATGTCAATCCAGCAAATGCCTTACTTTGCTAGTCCTCTGATTGTGTATCTTATGTTTCAAATCCATTCTGTTTACTTTGATGTGAAAAGCGTTCCTCACAGAAAATGTGGCACAGTGACTATTGAGCATATTCTAATAATCACCACTGCATAGCTAACTGCTCTAAACGCATAAGCAGCATCACTCAATTTAGGAGTGTTAAAACGTGGGTTGGGTATCTACTTTTATTGAGTAGTCACAACTTTGTAGAAAATATATTTCATGTTAGTTTATTTCAAAAAGATTAAATCATCGATAAAGCTAAATCGGACCACTGTCTGTTACGTCAAAGGCTGTATCTATCCAATTTTTCAAGCTTAGTCATATAGTGCATATTGATTACGTTTGTATGGCGTATTTGATTTTCCAAGAAACAGATTATAGCAGATTAAGTGGAATTAGACTAAATAATTGGAATGCTTAGAAAAATAAACAGAAGTAAATGGTTATTAATCCTATCTACGTCGAACATTTAGTTAGCCATTTACTAGCGAAGTTATCACATATTGATAGTGACCTATTGAATTCTTAGTTAAATGCATATCCATGTTTTATTCTTATCTGCACAAACTACTTCGTCGAGAAAGTAAAATCGTAAAGTGACTTTTAAATTTATGGTTGTTTATGTGTGTAATAGAATATGAGGTATGCCTATTGTATGACAGCTGTTTCTACTACTCGGCTATTTTAACCTGCTTTTTGCCGTAGAAAAGTCAAGTTCTTATTCCACTGAGCTGTTAAGAAGGTTTGAAGTGAAACTGTCTATATGGTAATGCGTCTATTACGTTAATATTCGTTTTTTGGTTATCACAGCTCTAAGGTGATTTTACTCCTGATGCAACTCAATGGCAGTTGTGGACTTTTTGAGTTCTCGTGTTCATGTAAAATCCTGATGTCAGGTTTCTACTCAAAATTCCTGGTTGTATAATGCAAGTATTTAGTGATCATCATCCATCTCAATGATTTATTAGCATCAGTTTGACAAAGACATTTGAAAGATTTTCGCAAAACATATCTGCACGTACTATCCATAATTAATTGTTATTCTTGCTTCTATTTGTAGTGTTTGTGCATATCATATGAATTCATTTTACAATTTCAGATATGGATTGATTGCATCCTCCTTTCAGGCCTGTCCACGAATTGTCTGTCCCCACCCTTTGTGTGAAGGCCGTTCATTTTGTTACAAATGTCGAAGACCTTGGACTTCTGGTGATACAAGTGAAAGTTCTTCAGATCAAAATAATGTTACCCATGTCTGTCCATCTGAGCAGGATTTACGTAGTAATGCTCTAGATAATCTGCGCGCCTTTTTTGGTATTCGACACCTTAATAGTCAAATGCCTGGTCTAAATACCATTCCTAATGGTTCTCAGCAGAAGATTTCTGAAGGTGTTTTGCAAATGAGTGTAAGTCCTTCAGCCACTACAAAGGAGAAGCGTTATCGTGTATCCAAAACACTTCGCAGTTCTACTGATTACACGAAAGGTGCTCGATTATCTATGGAGGAATTAGTTGGAGAAACTGATTCTGGAAATGTTGGTACCAATACTCCCAATCTAGAAGAAAAGTAATTTCCTATCGTTTTTAGTTTAAATTTTGATATTGACTGTCGTGCAATTGTAAGTTTTTCGTGAGTGGTTTCAGATGGACTGCTCGAGGGATGTAAATGGTAATTCCATATTAGATAAGTTTATTTGGAATAACAGTGATGCTGTATTAATAAGTGAATGACGTTTCGAGTACACGTTATTGCTCGGAAGGTCATTCAGTTATTTATACTGCATCACTGTGTTACTTCAAATAAACTTAGTTAATATGAAATTACATTCTACCACTTGTATTAAGGATGTATGTTGTAGTTTCTATATTGTAAGTAAAGTGTGAATTGCATTAAGATGCATGGCTATTATCAGTTTCCAATGTCAATAGTAATCTTGCACTTTCTATCCACAGGCATTCATCCTCTGATTCTGATATGACTAAATCCTTTGAATCGTCTAAAACTGATAGACGCGCTTCCGTGGAATTCAATGAACCAGGTTAGTGTTTATGCATACACTGATATATATATATATATATGTATTTAAATACTTATGTTCGTAAACTGTTAGTCGCTGTATCGATTGATTAAATTACAAATGTATTGCCCGACCGAAAGCTGCTACCTTGACGTGGTGGTCGGGCTTGAACACCGCGATGACCCAACAAGCTTTACTGGCTGAGACTTATGTCGCTTGAGGTCCTACCATGCCAGAAAGGTTGTTTGGATAGCGGTTAAACAAAAAGCAGTTACCCAATCCAACGCTATCACTCAAACAAAATCACAAAATATCATACCGGATTGGTCGGGGCCCGGATTAACAACGACCGCGCTTCCTGCTGCCGTGTCATAGGGCAGAAGTGATAAATATGCTACTGAGACACACCAAATAAAAAAAGACAAATGTATTGTTACATGTAACAACTGAACGCTTGTCGATTTCAAAAGGCCTTTTCCCAAGCTAGTCATAAAGTGGTCTGATACCACTATTTACTGCTTTCTTCATTTGTGACTTATTTAGCTTTATTCGTCTTCGTAGCACCTATGACTTACTGACTTTCTTGTTCTCAGGCTTCTAATGAATCTAAGGCTATGATATGCGCATAAAGTGTAAGTCAGTAATTACACAAATTCTGACATTATCACAGTTTTTAAGAAGTATTATATTTTATTCCATTCACTCAACTAAAAGAATAGTTGAAGTATTTCACGAGTTAAACGCAATTTAATATGCATAGTAAAATAAAATGTGTCAGACGCATGACATTAGTGCTGTCTTTTACAAAAGTTATGACTCAAAATAGGAGGTTTTTGCACAACATTTATAAAACGCACTGTTTAATAATATTGTCTTTTGTCGTTGAATTGTAATGTTGTTTATTATCTGGTTAGTGGTGTATAATGTACATTGGATTGGCTCGTCAGTTAGTATGATTGTGTGTTAGTAAATCGTTTTACTTAAAGTAGGCATTGATTTTGTGTGTATACAATTGAAAATTATAAAGATTATTTATGCGGAAAATAAGTGGAACAATATGTATTTGAAATCAATAGTGTAACAACACTAATTAAGATATTGACACAATAGGGTATCGATTTAAGTTGCCAAATTTGACAAATGCCACATGAAAAGCTGTCAACTAAAAGAATGACAAATGTGCAATAAATAATTATAGTAGTGTTTGTATTAATTTTTAGTAAACGAAAATACCTAGTGAAAATGTGATAGGGTTAAGAAAAGATGTAAAATGATACTGAACTTCAGTGTATACGGTATTTATGGCAACAGATAGAACTGATAATTATAATCTTATGTGAGCTACATAACCTCACTTCTGCAAATAAACATAAAACAAAAATCCAGCATAGTTGTAGAAATAGTTTCGATGTAAGAAAAGAGGTTTATTGTGTTCGCAAACTAACATCAGGTGGATGCGTACTGATGAAGGGTCCCAAACTAGGACGAAACAGCTGTCCAGTACTCCCAGCTGGTTTTCCAATGGTTCTCTAACCTATGTCAGCTCATGATGAAATCCTGTAGCCAATCAGTCAAATCCCTACAAACCAATACTTGAATAGCATCACTTAGGTAGAATCAGTGAGTCAGTAATTTCAGTATTCGGTGTATTCGAGTATGAAGCGAGTGGCTTATTTTAGCCCACATGATCATGAACTTTTATCATCTGAAGTGGCTGTCAGTGAAAATAGTTCACCCTTAAAGGTTCAGAGTACTTTACCTAGCGGCGCTGTGGGTTTGGTCATTGAGGGGACACTAGCTCACTTTATGTTACAGATATACCTCCCTGTGTGACTGAAACTGACTGTCAAAGACTTCAGGTTTTGCTCTAGTCACCCCTTACTCTTTTCCAACGTAATCCTATGTCGGTTAACATTGCTCAACGAGGACAGTGATTTCTTGACATGCGCAACACGTGTCCTAGCTTTCTCAATCGATGTAGCTTCATAGTCTCGTCGGCTGACTTTATTTCCTTATCTAGCACTCTACACCTAAACTCAATACTTTCAAAGTGTGTTAGATATCAGCGGCTAACTATTATTGACAAGGATTTGAAATTGCTTGGACTATGCATCAGGTGCACGCTGTATGTCATCCTGTGATCTCTGTATTGATTTTCTCTAGTCCATGATTTAACAACCCCTACTAACACATCATGGTGTTATTATGTGAAACTGTGTATTGCTGGGTTTAGTCTGATTCTTTATTCTAGCGCTAATTATACGGACCAACTTTTTCGATGGGTTTAGAACTTTGAATTCTTTTGTCGATATGTATTTGTTAGTGGTTATTATGTCGTGTGAATGCTTATAAGGTTGCTTTTACAGTTTATTAGACTATCACGTGATTTAAATTCACTACACTTCTAAGGAAAGTATAGACATTTTCGTCGTATGCAATTCTACTAACGTTGATCGATATCATTTCTTTGTAGGTGAACTTCTGAAGAATTTTCTTCAATTTCACTTATATATCATCGTAATCACTAGAAGAATCTAGTACAATAAAGCTTGCGTAAATTTTTAAATTTCATTTGTAGTTAACTTATTCATTAAAACATACAATTGAGTTTGAATTCGATAATGTCGAAAGAATGGTAATTGGTGATGCAGCAACTCAGTGTGTTGCTGCAGTGTTCATGTTTACGAATAAACTAATTTTAATACCAATAATTATTAACTTGGAAATCTGTTCAGTTATGGAACTTCGTTTGCATCTCCTAAGCTTCCTCACTAACCGAGGACAAATACTCGCAGATGACATTGGCTGTAGTAGTCGCGCTAAAGTTAGAATTCATGGGCCATTGATTCGTGTCCCACTGGTTGAATGGTCTGTGAGTTTACCTTGTAACTGGGAGACCCTGGGTTCGAATTTCAGTAGAAGGTGTACTTCCGGTGATTTCTAAATTAGGATGAAACACCTCTCTAGTACTTTCCTGGTTGTCAATGGTTCTATAACTGATATCAATCCGTGGTCAAAATTAAAAACCAATCACATCCCTACAAATCAAGTATTGAAAAAAAAGATATAGAAAAGACAGAAAAATGAAATCCGAAAATCTATAATCAGCTGAAATATTGTATGACAGTAAAAATAGTAGCATGAAGAATCGTGAGTGTTTCATGAAAAAGAAGAGATTACATAGAGTGAATGTATCTGTACCATAGAAAACAATTTTGAACTATATCACTGATAGTCTCCAGCTATTTGTTCATAGCATCCCGAGGACTCTGAACAGGCAGTCTGCTCCTCGCTATGTGGCTCAAACCAACTATCAAAAAAGATTTCATAGATTGATGCCGGATTCTGATTCGCCCTAATAATAAGTCGAATTTCTGTGACTCAATAAAACGGAAACAGTCGAGGTATACTAGCTAATCATAAATACTTTTTGTATTTCTAATCAAAAACAGAATGAGTTTGACTAATCAGTATATAAAAATAGATGTGTATAGCTTATTTCTTAGTGTCCATATTGTTTCAAGCTTTTGTTTCAAACAGATAAGATAATAATAAAAATTGTGTGCATGCAACAAGTGAAAACAAAATAAAATCACATGCAGTTTGTACTTTAGTATATCTCTTCATATATTATTGGATATTGATCGATTGTATAGTCAAAAATCTAGCTTAATTTGTCTCATTATAACCATTTAATTGATCCGGAAACTGATTGTTTTAGTTATTCTACGATTGCGTATTGTAGTTTCAAGGAGAAAATAGCTGAATGCGTGTTTGTCTCTTGCTATTCATTCATAGGGGAATAATGTATTAACTTAAATCAGCTATGCACGAATAATCCCATTCCTGTCAGCAATCATTCCCCAGTGATTCGATCGACACTGTTAGTATTCTTCAGTCAAATCTTGGTCTTAAATTACTGAATTTTAGGAAAACAAATTTTGGTGAAATCCGCTTGTCCTCTAAAATAAACCCTATATATTTTAGAAGGAACAAACTAAACAGATAGTGTCACGTGGATTTTTAGAGGTGATTGTCTGTCTAGGTCAAACACTACAGTTTAGTGTACTAGTTGTTTTGGCAATGGACAAATGAAGTGGTAGGATGCGGAGGAAGTGAATTCATAGAGGGCTATTGTCAATTGGTCGACTGATAAAATCCTACAGCTGGTTATCTATAGGTCTTAAGATAAAACTGCTTAGATCACTGAATGTTCGCACTCGGCGTATATTCTTCACTGAAGCCATGGAAAAAGATTCTTCGTCATATATATATATATATATATATATATATATATATATATATATATATATATATATTAGACTCAAGCCTATGAAGTATGATTTATCATCTGCATCTAAGATGCTGTATAAGAACTTCGAATTCGAAGGTGACTTGGCTGCCAAGATTTTGTAAAACGGACCTCGAGCTTCCTGTAAACAACATTCATCGCAATATCACTTTCAGTGGTGTTTTTCAGCTGACAATTATTTTCCAGTTATCTGAAGGATTACATTGTGCACTTGACCCACTCTTTGTATACCAGTTCACCTGCTCCAATGGAGGTTGATATATCTGTTCTGTCTTATAGTGTACAAGAAGACTATCCTGTTAGATTAGGGAAAGGTGAAAGGGGACCTGTAAGAACAGCAATAACTTGACATCTTATTTATACTGGTCATTTTATCTCAATCTCTTTTATTAAAGTTATCAATAAGGCAAAGAGAAATCTTCCAAAGTCAATGCATATCCGGCTCATTTATATTACTGAAGCTGTAGTCATCGAAATAAAGAAGCTGAAGCCTAGTGTACAGAAGAAACCGCCTCAACCTCTTCTCCTTTCTTGATCCTAATCCGTTTGTGTTGAAGTTATTAACAAAGTAAAATCCACTTACTTCTCCCACCTGACTCAATTATTATGTAATATCACCTTTTTTTTTCTCTTCCCATTTTCATTTTAATGAGAATTCATTACTTAGGTATCTTGTCATATTACTGTTTAGTTTATGCACAGTTTTCTAAAGCATCTAGAAGCTGTATTTGGGGGGAAAGATAAGTTTATTGATCTAACCTCAAATCCTTTTACATTCAAATATAAGAAAATTCTCGTTCATCTATTTCTGTATTTTGCTTTTCCTAGGCTCTGCAGTTAAGCCTTGTCCTAATTGCAAAACTCTTATACAAAAATTAAACGATGGAAGTTGTAATTCTATGGTTTGCTCAATTTGTAATTATGAGTTTTGTTGGTTATGCTTACGTGAAACAACAGCTACACATTATCTGAAGTATGTAAGCAGAAGTGTTTAGTCTTATGATATGTAATGTTCTTGTAAACTCATTATTCATTCTTCTATTATCACTCTATTTTGTATTTTTTATTAAGTATATTCAATTGGTTTCGTGGGAATGTAATCTATGCATAACAATTCAGATTATTCCGTACTGGAACATATATATATATGTATATGTATATATAAAATATATATATATATATATATATATATATATATATATATATATATATATATATATATAGTTGTGTTATCTTAGCTGGATATTCTAAATGAGGAGCTTTCATCATAGCCTTGCTAGGCAACATTCTCAGCGCATACTCCAGCTCAGAAAACATAACTAACCCAAAATCATCCAACTGAGCTACAAATCTCCATTATATATATATATATATAAATCAAGTTTTAACATACCAGAAATGTTGTTCGGGTGGTAGTTTGACTGAAATCAGTTACTATCATCCTAGTTGCACTCTGACGGGGATGGTGATGAAACGCTTTTCTTGAACAACCAGGAAGCCACTTAAGCATTTAGAAGGTTGTCGTGGTCATCCGCAATGTTTGAGTACGAACAAAGTGGCAGAAATCCCATCATTTTCAACAAAGTGCATGTGCTCGAAACGTTATCAGTAAATATTAGTGCATAACACTGTGAGACTTTATCAAAGTAAATTTTATCCACAATTGATTTATAATCTGCTACAGTACTTACTTTACTTTACTTCGGCTATCTCCTACGGGAGGATGAGCCGGCTTCATGAACATCTCGAATCATCGCTGCCCAGGAGCGGCGATCTGACGCAACGTTTTGCGACAGGGTTATCCAATTAAGAGAGTTCATGAAGTTTCATGGGAATTTGGCTCGGCCTTTTGTTTGAGAGTGCAGCTCTAGCCTTTACACAACCAAGTGTGACCTACAAGGCAGTAGGAGTGGAGTAGGGAGTCCACTATCCATTGGCAGCCGATGACCGGAGTTCGGTTCATACGCCTTTTTGAATGGGGCCAGACATCCAGGACATCCAACAAGCCCTTTGTCCATACGTCTGCCGGTGAGCTCCAGTGAGCTTCATACGCCAGTCGTTGGAGGTTTGGAATCAGGGTTTAGCCATCTCCCCTAGACTGTCATCCAATGGACAGTCAACCCGGTGAAGAGCGCCGGGCATCCGCTTTCGCCCTCTCACTTTGGTGAAAAACACCTCCGCCACGTGAAGGCAGTAAGTAGGACTTCCTCAGGAGAGGCTATGTAAGACGCCTGGTCATATGGGAGCATTTCGAGAGGTGTGCGGAAGGGTGGCCAACCCGCAGCGCAAGGCACCCACCCCCGACCATCCTGAGGCTTTGGAGGCTACAGTGACCAAGTTCTATCCTTATATCATCCATTTTATTTTATTTTTGTATCTTTCATATTTCGCTACTTCCCACCAATCGTACCATTTCTTATAAAGTCCCTTAATCTCCTTGTTACTTTGTTACAATGACTCACTCTTTAAGCTAACATAACATTATTCCTAATATCTTAGAACTGTTCTTTACAACTTCACATTGAAGCTGTCGACGGCCGAACCTTATAACAGCCAAAAGTCTAGTATACGCGATTCCATATTAGTTTGTTTATTAGATGTATCACACAGTGAAACAGTATTATTTACTGGATGACGTTTCGAACAAAATTTATTGTTCATAATCATATCAATTGTGTAAATAATACTGTTTCACTGTGTGATACATCTAATAAACAAACTAATATGGAATTACTTACTACCACAGTGCCCAAGTTTTACACATATATTAATATGACTCTAGTATACGCGCCCTACAAATATATTTTGCTGTCTCAAACATATTCATTTAACTCCAACTGGCTACTGATATGTTCAATCTGCAGATGAATCAATGGCCAGTACTCACACACTTCGAGGATCAGTCCACCTGGAATTCACCTACATTTCGGTTGTGCATTAGTTAATCTCAGACTGAGTGGAACGTGGATATCAATCTTGACTGATGTAGTATGCCAGAGTCCACAGTAATGAATAACAAACCTAAATAACTAAGCAGGTTCAGGAGCACATTATCAGTTCGAAACAGTTAAATTACAGCCCACAAGCTCGCCACATTATGGGCACCAAAACATTCGCTACACAAAATCTCATATTTTCTATGAAAACTGCGATACTGCCCGGACGCTCAGACCAAAGCAGGTGATTTTCTTAAAAGGCTACACTCCGAGCCTTCGACTTGAAGTCTGATCCACAAGTCAGTAGAGCAGCGTCAGGACCTGCGTTTCTATGGTTTTCAATGTCCGAACAAGGTTTATACGCCATTCGATCCATTTGGATGATTCTGGATTCCACGTACACTATCGGTTTTTGTATCAGGGTTTTCCAGATGCCCTAGGCAAAATTGCTTGTCCACCAGTCCGTTTGTAAGTGGCAGACGTTCGCACTCACCCTATGAGGAACACTCTGGCTACGTGAGGGTAGTGAAGCTGTGAACTTGCGGTCACATAGAGACATTTCCAGATGTAGGCCGAAGTCTGCCCACCCTCGGTTGTACTGTAACAACAGAAGACAAGGGCCAGGCAACAGATCGTTTATTACGAAAAATCAACACGTATTTATAGATTTTTATGTACATTATTGTAGGTCAATGTTAGTAGAAAATACAGTCTGTTGATTGGTTGTTTCTCACACAAAGTTAACCTTGCATCTCTTGTGGCTGTGTCAGTTCATCTATATGTTAACTGTAACCGCCTGTCCACCTTGACCTTTGACCTCAATTACTGTCAACCAATTTGGCCAGTAGACAGCTCTCACCACAGTACCAGCTTGTTTATGGAAGCTAGCAAATAATGAATGACAGTGTCGTGTATATATTTGTCTATGTAGCATTATAAAAAGTTTTTCTCAATTAATTCAACAGATGTTTCATTTTTGTGATATGTAATCATAGGTTAATCTTAATTATAACTTTCTTCAAGATCCTATTTAATTGCTGTCTCCTTCTCTTTTCTTATTTTCAGTTTTTCCGGTTGTACTGTATTGGGTCGTAGTCAGTGGTCTAAACTTCGTCGTGTTGTGACTGTTTGTGGTATTATGCTAAGTACACCTATTCTACTTCCACTCGCAATTATCTTAGCACTGCCTGCTATATCCGTTTGGTTCACCTTCTCCATGGCCAGACAGGTAATTTATGACTTTTCTTCTTTTTGAGAATATGACTTACGCGATGAAATGACTACATTCTCACTTAATTGTGAAGTGTAGGAAATCTTTGTAGAGCAAGTTAACCTACTGTTCTGTTTTTATTTCATCATTACAAAGTCGTAGTTGGTGTTTGTTATTGTCAAGATTTCTATTGTATTGTCACATTACTCAGGTCATTATCTACTCCTAGCAGGTGCAAATAATTTTCTCCAAACATTACGTACATGTTTACATCAGTCTTCCTTCAGTTTTTTTTGCTTCGGTAGAAAATTATGAATTTGATTTCCATGTATAGTGAATTCTTTTTCATTATTTGACGTTAACACTGTAATTTCCAAATCTCCATGAATTTTCATTTTGACTATGTTAATTACTACGCAATTTTGGCATGTATCATACCAAGACCTCAGCAGGCATTTTGTTAAATTACCTTTCTCCAAAGCAGTTAGTTTATTACTTTTTCAGGAACATGTATAATATATATATATATATATATATATATATATCGACCATGTATAATAATTAATATGGTTAAAAGGAATTTATTAGTTAAGTGGGATAAAAGTGAGACGTAATTTTCAATTCACTGAAGACTGTTCCATATCCTTCCAACTCCGTCCGACTTGTATTATTTAAGGCCGACTTAACAACATTTGGATATTGAGCAGTAATGAAAGGAAAACCGACTAGTTGGTGATCATTCCCATAAAAGACTATTATGCGTGTATTCATTTCTAGATGATAGCTTCTCTGTTAATTCACGAATCTTATCACAAACAGGGTGTTTAATATGAGTACAACAAGCTATTTAGCTTATCAGATGACATTAGCTGACGTTCCAAGCTACTGATAGGACACCATGTCCAGAATTATTTGAAAAACAACAGAGCTATATTTTGATGTTGTGTTATCTGAGCTAGATGGATGGTTTGCTTTGACATACAAAGGGTCAAAGTCCAGGTCAAGGAAACGATCAATACCAATACAAGTAGCCTAGTGGGTGTGAAAACACATGAAAACAACCAATCACGGTCTAGGTCACCAGGAGAGATGACTAATAAACTCGCGGAGAAATCTAAAAGCTCACTACAAATTGACGTATGCGCTGAAGATGTTGCCTAATTGGGCAATGAAAGCTTCGCAAGCAAACCATCTAGCTCAGAGAATACAACTACATCAAAATCATCCACCTGAGCTACAAATTTTCTCCATCCTACAGAACTATTCCCACGATGTTTTGGTTAGGTAAATTTCTGTTGGATTTTCCTTCTCTATCCTTGTTTAAGTTTGTATTTTTCCGATTCTTTTTCGTGATAATTAATTTTACTGCTTCCCGTTAGAGCACGTCTCTCTCTCTGTTTTGAGCAGTTAGTGAATCTTTAGAATTAATGCCAGAAAAGGTTGAGCACAGAATTCCTATTATTTCGTTCTCAGTAGTCTTTTGTTATCAAATTTAATAGTCATATTAATAGGCTATAATGTTGGGCAAGCATTATCCTACATTTTAAATAAGTTAACTTGATTATAGCACGTTAACACAGTGTGATGATTAATATTATCACAATCACTTTCATGTGATCATGACTAATAATTTGTGCTTAAAACTGTATCTGATTAGTTATATCGTACCACATAAAGCTTATTTAACGTGACCTCTGTGTAAGTGTAATTTCAAGGGTTCATTATTTTATCTTATATTGTATTAGGTATGACATCTCTTCTATTACTCTAATACTGATGATATAAACAATGCAGGACATAGTCAGTATTCGTGAATTAAATTTTGGATACAGTTATCTTAGTGTATTTGAATAACTGAGCATGACCAGTAACCGTTAGTATCATTTAAAGCCGGATAATTGACCACTCTCCTCAGTCATTTATAAAAGTGGTATACGTATAATTTGATTACGAAAAGACTACACCAGTTAGTAGGGAAAATTGCCAATTACAAAGAAATACTATTAGATGGTTGGAGGCAATCGGCAGGAAGCCTCTAATCATCCAATAACAACGCTTCAAAATGCACCGTGATAGCGAACCACCTAAATTGATAATCACACTGCAAACTTGACTGATAGAATTCACAGTCTGCACCAAACAAAGAACTGAGCGGATAGTACTAATTACCGACTAGGTGTCCAATCGAAGCCTACAAAGAAATACTGTCTGACCTATTGCTTTAGTTAATATTTTCAGTTTCTTTATATCTCAAGAGAGAGAGAGAGAGATTAATTATTAGACAAGGACAGTATTAATATAAGGATAAGACTTAGGCACTATGATTGAGTTTAATTCTGTTTTATTTTTATACAAAGAGTAATATTCACTGCATAATTTCTTGCATAAAATCTGCTTTCTGTAGTTACAGAATGACTTAACGATTTACAGGCCTGTAAATATCAGATTAGAAGTGTTACATGGTAAATTATACTGTAATTTAAGACTAGAACTTAATGACTGTAATAGAATATTATCCTAAACTAGATAAGTTTATCTGATATAGCGTGCAGTGATGCGATATTATCAAGTAGGTGGTGGTGACATTTTAAGCAAAATTCTATTGTTCGTCATCACACATACAGCTCTACATGGTAAGTTAGAAAGTCATCTGACTGTCTTAATGTGATTATGAGTAATAAATCAGGCTCCAAACGTCATTCAGTCAATAGCACTGCATCATTCTGAGTCATATCAAATTAATTTAAAGAAATACAAAAGCTACATTGTTAGTAGTAAGTATATAAACCATAACAAAAGCAATACATATTAGGTTACGAAATAACTGGAGGACTTAAATGATAATGCACATACATTTTAATTGTAATCAACCAGATGCCGGAGTCCTAGTAGGCCAAACGACAACAACACGGAGAGGACAGTAGTCAGAAATTTATATTCAGTAGAATTGTGCATTTACAACAAACAGAAACAACAATGAACACTCACATAGCACTCACAATAACAGAAATAGTTGATCACACTACATAAAGGTACAAGCATAATTCTTTGTCAATAATTTCACACAGTATCTTCAGGTACTGTTGGATTCTGCCTCACTGAGTTTTAATTGTCATTAAGGTTATTTACATGATTATATATTCACATGTGTATAACATGTATTACAAACGCTTTTTATTTTTGATAGAAATCCAATTTTCTCATTATGATAAAATCGTGTAAATATTTAATATGTGCTAAATTCAATTAAAGCAGTATAAATTAATCAATCCTTTAGATATTTGACTAAGTTCTCCTGATAAACAGTAGTCAACAATCTCACTAACACCAATGACTGTCTTCTGTAAAGACAACAACCAGTCTATTGGGATTGGATTTCAGGCGTAATTCTTTTCTGTTTCACTGTGGTCATTTGTTCATATTAAAATATTGTCCGAATAACCTGAAGTACTGCTTCATGGATGTGTTTTTTTCTCTATATATATCTCATGCTCATTATTACATAGTTTCACTGGTTACTATAACCTACCCGACCCTTGAAAATTGTCAAACTCAGTGGGGTTGTAAGCCTAATTGTAACTGTGACTTGAAATCTTTGTGGTATTCTCTCTTCTAAAAATGTTATGTAACAAAACTGTAAGTAAGTATTGCCGTAGTTAACATGTAGTTTTATATTCCTAGGATGTTATGCAGACAGACAATTCCATTATGGATAAGATTTTATTTTGATAATCACACAGTGTTGTACAGTAATATTAACTGATGACGTTTCGAGCATAAACTATTGCTCATAATCATATCAAACGTCATCAGTTAATATTACTGTACAACACTGTGTGATTATCAAAATAAAATCTTATCCATAATGGAGTTATGCTCTACCACAGTGCCCAAGTTTTATACTTATATCAGACAGATAATTGTTAACAATCGATACCTTGTTGTTATCACTTCAGCACACTTTTTATCTCATTCGATTTTATTAGGCATTTGCCTCACGTGAGACAACTTGAATTATTACTATTATTTTTTCCTGTCGAACATACTTCATTATGTCGTAGATTAAATGATCTTACCATAGTGTGGTATGTGTCTGCGTGTGTTGTGCATCTTTATATGAAATGCAAAGATATTTGTTATAATTATTATTATTAATAATTCAAACCGTATGGTATTTATAATTTCAGTGTGAACTCATTTTTTTTAGCTTTTTTTTGAAAAAGTAGCAAGCAAGCTAGTTACACTCTTCTTCTTCTTCTTCTCTGTCTCGCAACATTGAAGAAACAACTAGCTGTATGATTGAATTTAAGATATAGTGTTGATAATTATTTAACAACTAGTGTAATTGTATTTTGTTTATATATCATTTAAGCGATGATTGCCATCTTCATCGAATGAATGAAAGATTCCCAAGTGAAATATCGCTTTTATTTATCTGTTTTCTGACTTAATAAGTTAGTTATTGCATACTTTAAAAAAAAGTTGTTATACACATTAAGTTAACCATATTTTTACACTACTTTTCTACGCTTATTGTTGATTGGGAAGAAATCGATTTGTTTCCCAAATATAAATGTAGAATTCGGGTTCTGTCAGATAAATTCATAAAGGTAACGATCTACAGCATAATGTCAATTATTAATTGATATGATTATGAACAATAAATTTTGTTCGAAACGTCATCCAGTAAATAATACTGTTTCACTGTGTGATATATCAAATAAACAAACTAATATGGAATTACTTACTACCACAGTGCCCAAGTTTTACACATATATTCTCTTCACTATAACTGCTGACTTCACATATCTTATTTCTATACGGATAATTATACTGTGACAATAAATGTATATGGAGAGTGGAATACTTTTAATAGGATACCAGTATTTCTTTAGTAGATAGTATGAGTACAATGTCTTTTATTGGTGATTACAAATATTGACTGTGAGGTTTTGATCTGCAGGGATTTGATTGGTCACAAGCATGATTACGAGTTGACATCAGTTAGCGAACTATTAGGAAACCTAAGAGTACTAGACAGCTGCTTCATCCTGGTTTGGGACTCTTCATCAGTACGCACCCACTGGGTTTTGAACTCAGAACTTATTAATGACATTGAGTGGCGGTTGATGTATATATATATATATATATATTATATAAATATATATATATATATATAAATTGGCAGGAGTGGAAATTCAGGGGCCATTGGAGTGGCATAGGGGAAGTGTAGACTTCTTGGTTGGAGTCCTCAAGATGGTAAGAACCGACAGCTGGAGACAATTGGTGATATGGCTCAAAGTCGTCCTCAGTGCCGCAGATGTATTCACTCTTTGTGACTTGTCATATCCAATACAACTCTGTTGTTTTTCCATATTACTGCTTTTTTATCTTCACACCTCTCTTTACTCTCTTCTCTTGCTTTGTTTGCTATATAGAGAGTGGCAACTCAAAGTGCTGCATATCTTTAAAAAGTTATATGTTGAAACCAGTCAATCAGAAGCGGGTCGAGGTGGCTGAATGGTCTACGAGATATTGATTGATTGAAAATTGAGATAGTTTTTTAACGTAAATAGTAATCCCAACTTGAAACAGTTGCTTTGAGCTGTTTGTTTTTCCGACATGCATGTTGTATTTGTCAAATTTAGAATAGTGTTACATGTCTGTACGATGTCCTAGTCTAAGTACAAAGTGAAGTCTTCAAAACATGAAAAACATTCGAATCGGTGTCATAGGAGGGATTAGTGACCACATCTGAACGCATACAGAACTGTTTTGCACTTGGTAGCTTACTCCGTCTCTTCCACTGATAAAATATCTGATTTGTGTTCAAACGCTGAGTGTACTGCTTCATAGTTTGCTTCTTTGGTATTTATGAACGAAAGTTGAAAGTTACAAATCGTCATTCATTGGTTATCCTATATATATAAATATATATATATATATATATATATATATATATATATATATATATATATATATTGCACAACAAGTCCATTTATTTCACTGTAAATCAAATAATTTCAGCCAGCATCAGATTCTTTGTCAAACCATTTTACAATAATAATCTTAACATTTCTACGAAATAAAAGCAAGGCTTTAGTGTTCACAACACACACTTAGATTATGCTAAACAACTTTCTAATGATTCATTCAGACTTTACATTCTAATTCTTTCAAAGAAAACACATACGGTCTGCAAATGTGTGGGGTATAATAATTATTGATTTTTTTTTCTAGAAATGTCAGTATTTCTTTGTGTAGCTGTATTCATTTTATAACAAATTATATAGACATAAATAAATTCCAGTAATCAAAAAAGGTTTTGCGCGAAAAATCTGTTATAAATCTTCCACAGTTAGTGCTGACTTTCTTCTATTTAGTATGGGTTTTACAAGCGAGTTCAATTATTTTTTTTTTGTTAAACTTTAGTATGGTTAGTTTCTAGTGTATTCTCTAAGGAACAAATCTGCAGTGTGCACTTCCTCTCTCAGTGTTTGTACAAACGATTTTAGCACTATTTCAAATAATTCTTAACCTTATTTCAAGATAAATTCAACACAAAATCTAAAAATTGATCCACAACCTTTTTTGGTTCATAACGTTGTGTTCGAAAGTCGAACTGACTCTTTTCAATACGCTATTTTTTAATCACTGTAACACAAAATAACTACAGAAACCAAAACAGTATGATTATTGGTTCGAATGTAAAGGCAGACCTACCCATATTACTTTATGCCTTTCACTTCTATTATGAAATCATGTTACACTAATAGACATACCAGCGTTAACATACAGGATTTTTAAGTAAGAACGGGAGGTGCAATATTTCCTTTTTGAGTATTCCATATCTCATATTTGTTAAACAGAAATGCTGCTATTGATATTTTATACACATGATTAAAGGGGTATTCTGCCAGTGCCATATGCAGTCGAAGCTAGGATATGCAGCTTCGACTTTCATCGTATACCAATTGATTTCATCAAACTTAACCTCTGTGATAGTATATTCATACTAGTTTTTTTCTTCGTCATCTCAACGTTATAAGTTACTGATGCTTTATACCATAGATAAGCATTTCCTAAAGTCTACTGGTCACTCTAGACTACTGTAATTACTGTTTTTTTTTAATCTTCATTTTACAGGCTAATCGAGTGTTACTATCGAAATCCAAACATTTACGACGATTTGTCGTATTCTGGGTTGTCGTCGCTGGTCTTATTTTGTATCCAGTATTAACAGGTGGGTAGATTTATCTTGATTGACAATTTTTGTTGGTGTGCAGAAACAACTCTCAGAACAAAACTTATCATTAGTCTATAAAGTTAGTTTCGCTGGGAATTCTGTCGAGGAAAGCGTGCAAACTTCTTTGTTTAGATCTTAAAGTTCACTCCTTAATAGTATCCGATTCATGGATTTGTAGGTTTTTGTATCCATGGTGTTTAGTTTTAGCCTGGCATTTTCTTCAAAACTCACAATAAGTATTTTCAAAAACTTTATTAAGTCATATCGAACTTATTTTTAAAAAGGATTGAATCCTAATGAAACTTCCACTTTATTGGATATTTAACTGGATTTATGTCGTCTTATTGTGTCGCTATACGATCCGATTTTGTTTATCTGCATACATGCTGTATCACTTAAACTGCCGGAACGCTTGCAGGGAAATTAAGTTCGTGTCATTCTGAATAGAAAGATTACTGCGAATTTTATGTGTACATGTGTTAAATGAAATATTTCTCCTATTCATACTTGGTCTTTTCCCATAGTAAGAAAAAAGATTGTTCGGCAAATGGCTGAATCTCTCCCTAATAAGCACCCTATATTCATCTATAAGGTCGTTTCTGGAATGCAACTGATTTGATTTTCTTTACAATATAACGCAATTAGTCTGGCTAAAACCCAGAAGATATGGTACATGTAAAAAACCTTGAATTCTTAAATATGACAGCAGTCTTCAACTATAAATTCAGGTTCCAGTCATTTTTCGCATATTGACTGATTCCCTTAAGTACTTAGTCCACCTTTGGAAGGCATTTGCCGTCATGATCAGTCATCATTAGTTTGATTGTGTTTGAAACACATGGTGTATGATGGAACTTAAAAGTACTATCATTTGTAAGGTTGTCGATTTATTGGCTAAATATAAATCATGTAAATGCACTTGACTGGCACTGCCACTTACTACATTACTTTGAAATTTTGTCATGGTCTATACAGTACCAATTTCATAAGTTTACATACCCTATGGATATCTTTATACATATATGGAACTGGAACAGTGGTAAGGTATAAGGCCCCATGAACCTACCGGTACGGCCGAGGATGGGTAGACTTCGGTCTTCCTCCGGAAGTGTCTTCATGTGGCCAGACGTTCATAGCCTCTCCTAGGTAAGTCCTATTGACTGTCTTTATGTGGCGGGGGTGTTCCTTACAAAACTGAAATGGTGAAAGCGAATATTTGGTACTTATAACCAGACTGATGGACAAGCTATTCTGCCTAGGGGATCTGGGAAACCCTGATACCAAACCGACAGTGTACATGGAATACAGAACCATCCGAATGGATCGAATGGCGTGTGAATCTTGTTCGGACACCGGAAACCATAGGAACGCAGGTCCTGACGCTGCTCTACTGACTTGTCGATCAGACTTCAAGTCAAAGGCTCGGAGTGTAGCCTTTTACGAAAATTACCTGCTTTGGTCTGGGCGTCCGGGCAGTTCTCGTAGAAACTGTGAGATTTTGTGTAGCGCATGTCTTGGTGTCCATAATTTACCGATTTTATTTTTTGACAAATAGATAAGAATAATTCTGTAATGGAACAATTTCATTTATACCTTCAGCGACTAAAGAAACTGCAGAAGATGTGGCAGTAAGTTTGTTTCATAAAACATACTAGCGCGTCAGGAAGCCTCAATAAAGAATCAAACAGATATAAGGAGCATTGACGTTGCTTAACTAAAACTCACTATTGAGTCCAAAATACATTAAAAAATAGTGGTTAAACTTTTAATCATGACATAAACATAAAATTTAAGGCATCCATTGTTGCCATATTAGGGAGGGATATCAGAAACCTTGCGTAGGATTCCTAGAACAGCAGCAATTAGAGTGGCAACCAAATCTGCAAATTCACTCAGGAAAGCCTCTGTAGTTTAAATGTCCAATTAAACAAAATTGTCCTATCTACAAAATAGTTTGCAATAACCGCGACGTCCATAGCATATGGAAGACTAATCCTAGTACGGGCATGCAAGAAGTAAAATTTTCGAAAGTAGATTGGATCCTTAGCAACAGATTGTGCTTTGGAACGCCTTCCTTTTAGTACTACTAGACTATAAAATTGTCTGTCGCTTAGCAGAGATGTCCAATTTCAATAACAACTTCTGTAACTGCAGCACTAGGTAACGCGGATTTAAATTTCTGAAGAAAATCAGTCCTTCCAGGGTCGCAATATACCTTGCTAACGATTGCCAGTATGTACGAAGCCTACATTCAGGACTTTTTGTCAGTTGCTTACAAACGTACGTCATCAGTTAAAAGTGGCGAGTCTTGTAGCTTTGTGATCACATTACTAGCTTTATTGATTGAATATAGTTGGCATATTCGACTAGACAACACTTATACTGGTTACTTTCCAGTAACCTGCCTATGTACTTTTTACCAGTAATTATGCACCACTAGGTTAAGTCATGGAAAACAACTTTCATTGTCCTATGTGTTTTGCCGTGGTTTTCGTAAGGTTACTCGTTTTACTGAAACCATATAACCACTTTATTTTTTTCAATCACTTTGTAGCATTTACCTTCAGTCTGCTTATTCCAATCCTTTTGGGTTACGTGTACTTGTATCTCCCAATAAGTCTATTGTGCTCACTTCTGCGACATGAAAATGGAGTCCAGTTAGAACCCACAGAATTAGAGAGGCTCCAGTCAGTGAGTCCCATTCTTGTGAAGGAGTTCGGGACGAAGAATACAGATATTAAATTGACGGATGAAAATCATAATGAATCAGAAACTGTTGTGGTAGTAAACGAAACAGTATCCATGGATTGAGATCAAACTCTCAAGCTTTGTAACAACACTTGTTTATCATCTTGAAGTCTTTCATTTCTTATCCACTGACAATGTGATTCTCTTCTGCCCTTATTGACAAATATTTGCATTGAGTAAACATACAAACTAATATCCTTTTAAATTTCTTGGTAACTTTAGAGATAAAGCTGTGATTTTCAATTCCAGATATGCTGAATCATATTTAGCGTTATTCTTATTTTCAATTTGCTTTGTTTGTACACTCTTATAAATTGTTATTTTCTGGTAAAAAGAACAAATATCTTGTTTAGAGTGTATCTTACTTTATGTTTACTTGTATCCATTATAATATAGAAAGCTAACGTACTGCTTGAACACTTTAACAAAGAAGAGTAGTTATTAAGTACAACAGTCAGTTAATTAAAGGCTCTTCTTCACCTCAAAGTGATCAGAAATTAAACTGCTTACAGTATTATGAATCATCTGCGAGATTCAATTATTAATAATCACCTGTACCCAGCTACTATACTACAGTTTGACTGACTAGGTTTCAGCATAGAACTATGCACACATGTGTACCAGTTCAAATCGCCACACTCCATGTAGCACACAAAGGTAGAGAAAATAGATAGAAAAGAACTATAATAAGCAGAAATGTCTGTCTCTGTCTGGATTCAACATAGAACTTGGCACCAAAGTGCAGCAGTTCGAGTTGCCACGTTCCGAAGAGCACACAAAGGTAGACAAGAAGATGAGTGAAGAGAATCAATAGAGTTTTGACAGGTATAAGAGTGAAACAGAATGAGTAATGGTAGAAAGGAGTATGGTAGATTACAGAGACCGAATACATCTGCGCCATTGACAACGATTTTGAGCCATGTCACCTATTGTCTCCAGCTATTGATTCTTAGAGTCCCGAGGGCGGGCCCCAACCCGGAAGTCTGCATCTCCCTACCTGACTCAGTTTAACTGTCAGGGATTTCATGGATTGATGCTATGTTTTTGTTTGGCCACCACTTACTCTTTTCCAACCTGCACCTATATCAGCTAGTAATGCCCGTCGGGGGAGGCGATGGTTAGGCATGCGCAGCACGTGACCTAGCCATTTCAATCTATGTAACTTCATAGCCTCTTCGATTGATTTTCCCTCTTTCCCCAACACTCTACCCCTAACGTCAACATTGCTTACCTTATTATACCACCTAACGCGAGAAAGAGATCGTAGACATCTATGATCAAAAACAGTCAACGTTTTCATGTCTTTAACTCGTATTGGCCATGTTTCAGAGCCATAGAGAAGGACGGAGCGAACTGCTAAGCAGTACACACGTCCCTTGGTTGACAGCCGGATGTCACGCCTACGCCAGAGACGGTGTAAGTTAGCGAAAGCAGCTCGAGCTTTTTGGATCCGTGCTGAGATTTCGTCGCCAATCACTCCGTTGGTGCTAATACAACTTCCCAAATAGGTGAAGTGGTCAACATGTTCTATCACTTCACTCCCTATCACTATTACCAATAGTCTCCGGCCACTGGTTCTTAGAGTCCCGGGAACCACAAGCACGCAGCCTACACCTCTCTACGTGGCTGAAACTAACTGTCGAGTTATTCATGAACTGATTCCAAGACTTGGCTGGACCACTACTAGCTGTTTTCCAACTTAATCTTATATTAGCTAACATTAGCCAGCTGAGGAAGGCATGCGCAAACACGTTCTACCCATCTCAGTTGATTCAGCCTAGAAAAACCATCGGTCGAATTTTCCTCCTTACCCAACGCTGTACGCCTAACTACGCGTCGTTTGGTCGATAGCCTGATATCATGTCTCCCCCAGAGATGACGTATGTTAGCGAATGCCACATGAGTCTTTTGTATTCACACTGAAATTTCGTCCATTGGGGTTGAGGCAACTTCCCAAACAAGTGAAGTGGCCAGCATGCTCAACCACTTCACTTAGTATCTCTAAGTGTGGCGTCGATGCGGTCTAGTTCTGCAGCATCATCTCATATTTGACTGGAGCGAATCACATGTCAGACGTCCGAAGACTTCTGTTCAATGCGTTCAGAAGGCTCTGGATTTTATAAGCATCTCCACCTAGGAGAAAAGTATCACCCGCATACTCTAATTCTCCGAGGCTGTAAACCTGGCAACAAGTCAACCTCTAAGTAGCTGAACTCAGTTAGAGTCAACTCCAATAGTACATCTTTGATAAAATTAAACGAAAATAAGAACAATGGTCATCCCTGACGAATACCTCTGGTTGTCATCACTTCAGAAGACAACTCTCCATAAGCTCTTACACGGCTGCGTGAGTCCGAGTAGAATGCCTTGATTAGTGCGAAAAACTCTCTCAGTGCCTGCTTTACTGCCACTCGTGCCATAGCACATCTCGGTTAACGGAGTGGAATGCAACCTTCAGGTGAAGAAATTTGTTGAGTTTTGGGTGCCAGTAAGTACCATTATGTTCTAGAATCTGTCGAAGGGTGAATATAGCATAGCTGGCTTTCTGGTCATCTGAGGGGAATATCGTACATCCCCATTTAGCAACAATACGACTTCGCCCACAGACCTCCACATAGACTAAACAATTTACACTACGACAGCAGTTGCTTTTAGTCTAATCGCTATCCAAACAATCTTCCTGGTATGGTAGCAACACATAAGTTCCAGCTGGTATAGCTCGCATAGTCATTGCGATATGGAAATCCGTCCACCGCGTCAAGGCAAAAGTTGTCGGTCGGGACATTACAATTTACCGCCAGTGATTAGTTGTTCCATCAAATCAAAAGTTATGAAACTGTAGAAAGTTGTACAATTTATTTATTACTGACCATTCAGATTTTCAAATCACGTGGTTATGGTGTAAAGCCCACATCTAAAATAAAAATCATTAGGGTCTCGTTAATTCCGTTAAAATAAAGTTCGGTTCACCGAGGTCAGTATCACCATGAGGATTTCTCCAGTTTAATGTTCTAGGCATCTGATTATAGATCGAAAAATAACTGATTCGGCTTTATCATACGTACAACCACTTCTGGGCTTCCTGCTCGTTTTGGATTATTATCTTTTAGATGAACGATGTAAGCACACTTAAAAGTTTTTCGCATATTGCACGGTTCTAGGTGGGAATTAGCTATGGCTTCAATTAGGAGGCCAGAATATTAAGATTACAGTATGTGACTTACTTCATACCCTGAATGGCAATCAAGCAAAATAACCTCAAACACCTAACTCAGAAAGCGAATTTGAACCGGGTACACAGCTGATATACCCCGTCTGAGATGGTTTCCTGATGTTTATATAACATCGATCTGGCAAGCAAACTCAGCTCGTTGACATAATTGGACCCTAGCTACTCATATCAACCAGTAGTATATATAGGCTCGAAAGTGAAATTGTTCAAAGGACTATCTATATTCAAAATAGAAGTCTTAGCTCCTCGACTATTCGACCGAATGGTTTACAAGTTTCCTAACATATCAATACTCCTTTAAATTTCAATCTGCCAGATCGACGCAGTAGCAATACATTGGTGTTATTCCTTTTTGTTCTTAAGCAAATATTTTCAATGCCAAAATAATCTCGGTCAAGCAAAACCAATATTACTTATTGATATACTTACTTCGTCAACATCGCTTTCTATTGTAGTTACAGTAACATCTAACAACGCTTTCGAATACAGAATCACACGAAAAGACGTACACCTGATCGACAATTTTGATAACCGCAAATTGACCACAGTAGGGTGAAATGCTAGCGTGAACTAGAAAGGGTAAATTGAAGTGAACAACAGATATTGTGACGCTATACTAGCCACTCTTTTACATATTTCACTAAGTAGTGTCCAACATATCACGTTTAAGTAAAGTTCCAAGATAGTTTCTGAAAGAGCCTAACTAGGGAACATCTGGTGTCAAATGTTATCGACTCCGTCTCCACGAAATTCTGTGTCAAAGTAAACATATGTAGTTTTGCTCAACGTTCCACAATGACTACTGTGGAACAAGAACCAACCGACTTTCCCAAGTATTAGATACTATTCTAGAAGCGATAAGTAGAAGTCAACAAACCACTTCAATCACGTTCCTATAGTCTAGTGGTAAGTTAAAGCTCCACAGAAAAGCGCAATAATGCACCTAGGTCAGAAGTCTTACACGTCGTACTCCATGGGGGACACAGAACTGCCAGATGTTAGGGAACAAAAGGACTTAGGAATTATTGTTAGCCATGACTTAAAAACAACGGCAAACTGTAATCGAGCCACAGCTAAGGCTTTTCGAATGCTTTGGGCACTTCGAAGGGCTTTCAAACGATTAGACGAGGGTATGTTCCAAGTACTCTATGCAACATATGTCAGGCCTCATCTAGAGTACTGCATACAAGCGGCGAGTCCACGCTTCAAAAAAGAGGCACGTACTCTGGAAAGAGTACAGAGGGTAGGAACGAAATTAGTTAGTGGTATCTCGCACCTTCCTTATGACATGAGGATGGAGCATTTAAATCTCTTCCCATTATCATACCGAAGGAGGAGAGGTGACTTAATTTTGGCTTACCGTATATTCAAGGGTGATTTAGGGATTGACCTTTCAAACCTTTTCTCTCCCTCTAGGATACATTTACGGGGTCACCAGAAGAAGGTGCTCAAACCGAGGTCGAATAAAATACGTTTGGAGTTTAGATTCTCTCACAGAGTGGTCAACGACTGGAACTCCTTACCTGATTCAGCAGTAACAGCTCCATCGGTGAACGCTTTCAAAGAGAAACTGGATCTCTGCAGATATATATATATATATTTTTTTTTTTTTTGCTTCGGCTATCTCCTACGGAAGGATGAGCCGGCTTCATGAACTTCTCAAATCATCGCTACCCAGGCGCAGCGATCTGACGAAGAGAGTTTACGAAGTTTCATGGGAATTTGGTACGAGTGATGTCCCCAGAACCACTCGGCCTTTTGTTTGAGAGTGCAGCTCTAGCCTTTACACAACCAAGTGTGACCTACAAGGCAGTAGGAGTGGAGTAGGGAGTCCACTATCCATTGGCAGCCGGAGTTCGGTTCATACGCCTTTTTGAATGGGGCCAGACATCCAGGACATCCAACAAGCCCTTTGTCCATACGTCTGCCGGTGAGCTCCAGTGAGCTTCATACGCCAGTCGTTGGAGGTTTGGAATCAGGGTTTAGCCATCTCCCCTAGACTGTCATCCAATGGACAGTCAACCCGGTGAAGAGCGCCGGGCATCCGCTTTCGCCCTCTCACTTTGGTGAAAAACACCTCCGCCACGTGAAGGCAGTGAGTAGGACTTCCTCAGGAGAGGCTATGTAGGACGCCCGGTCATATGGAAGCATTTCAAGAGGTGTGCGGAGGGGTGGCCAACCCGCAGCGCAAGGCACCCACCCCCGACCATCCTGAGGCTTTGGAGGCGATATATATATATATATATCGCGAGGATTAACATAGGCATTGTATCCTTATAATTTGAATCTAAGATTAGCTTCGAAACACCTGACTGAGCGTTTTGGTCG